GTATTTTTTCATTTATATGTAGGCTTTATAGACTAAAAGTAAATCTTGTATATAAGATGTCTTTGTTTCTCTTGAGTCCCTTCCCAACGAGGCCCCACGCATTAAGTGGGAGGAAGGAAAGCTGTTGGTTGGTATGCTGTCGCCGACCCGAAATGGACTTGCAGTTGGCCTCAGAATCGAGCTACACTCGAGCGCGAGTGTGGAGGAGGGCTGGAGACAAAGAGTCAAAGCCGAGTGTGTAGGGGGGAATAAGCGGAAAATGAAGTAAGCCACACCATCTGTTGTCGACATACCTTTCGTGTGGCCGCATCTCTGAGGCCTCGAGACAGTCAAAGACCTCGCTTCAAACACTCCCCACTCTCCTTAGGCCTGACATCCCAGCGCATATTCGGGCTGGGCTCGTTGCCGACCCAAGTCCGGCTCTGTTATGGGACCTACAAACCCACTCTCGACTACCGTCGGAGAGACAGTCTGGAGCTAGGCGCCAACTCAGATCAGAGCGAATGCATGTCATTAATCACGTCAAAAAACAGTCAGTTTGTCCCCCATCATCTGTTCGTATTGCCCAACGGGGTAGGTAGACGTGGGGTTAAAAATGAAGTCAACTTAATGAAACAATATTCATCATATACATTTACAAGCCATTTCGCCCTACCACCGTCCGCGTGCATACTAGCCTCACAATGCGTAAACTTGGCAGGCCAGAATGTGAGCATGTGGGCGATGCGGCTTTCTGGCCGAACGAGTGAAGAAGCGCTCTCTCGACCGAATAATCAGTGAGGAAATTAAATTTCGCCTCCGCCTCCCACTACACCACAAGAGGCTGAAGCTCGGCTTAGCTCGGTAGTCTGGCTCAAAAGCCGGCCGACAGGAGAGGCTGGGTTTATTAATTTGCCGGCCACATAACCCTTGCCGGCGCCGGACTGAGAGTCAAATATGACTCACTCGTAACTAAATGCGACCCAACTAATCCGGGCAATAACTATTGAAAATTGGATTGGCCGGCCGATTCGGCCAAATCTCAACGGCCTCAACGCCAAGGCCAGCAAAATGGGAATTGACAGGATTAGTACGGACGAGGTCAGAGTAAAGAGTGTTTGTGCGTATATATATCCGCCCATCCCCGTGTATGTGTGCATGTATATGCGGGAAGGTGTGGTCGTGCGTGCATTAACGCGTTTAGTCTGCAGAGCTTCTCACTCTTAAGCAAGTCTGAACTTCATCATGAGAAAAACAATGCATAAACCCTTTTGTCTAAAAGCCTCCTTCTACCGAACTAGTGGTCTTTTTCTTAATTTTATTGCCACGCATTAAGAAAGTGCGGTCTGGCAGGGGCAGCTTCTATTAAAAATTAGATGACTCAAATAATTCAACTTTTCACCACGCAAAGATGGTGCTCCTGTTTAGTTATAAAATGGGGTTATCCTACACCCTCATTCACTTGCATTATGATCCCATGAACTTTTTTTCAATTTTAATTTCGTAGATATGAAGACCAGGATGGTGTGGACTTCTGTTTGGTTGCAGTCTGCCTTAACCTTAGAGTGTGGTTCGACCTGGTTTTCGCAACTTGGTCGATGTGTCAGAGAGGCCTTGTAGAACGTACCTATTCCCATGTCCTCTGACATAACATTCGCGATTCCCAGCATTAGACCATTGACTTGGTACATTCACAAACGTTTTACCGGCATCGTCAGTGCGAGGCGCTATCGTAAGCACAGAGTTACAACATATCAAAGTGACAAGTGAAGGAAATCCCCACTATCAATTTTCATTTAAATCGTGGCATCACTGCTCGCCCCTATTTTTTGTTCTACCTTCTAGTGCCGCATCTCCTTCCAGCCTCACTTCATATGTCCAGTCTCCTAATTTACACAATTCTGTATTCTCATTTCCTCCAATGTCGCCTAGGCGTGTGTTTATGTAAGTGCGATCATCTTCACCACCGGTAGCTGGTACAGTTTGCAGTGCTCATGACCTTCATTCTGCCCTCCCTCTTTTTTTCGCACCCGCTTGTCAATTGGCCGCTGCTAAGCATCAAAATCACTTTCTTTGACGAGTTAGTGTGGAGAATGGCAAAACTCACTGATGAGGCCGACTATGATGCCGGCAAAACGTTTGAGAACGTACCAAGTCCACTATTTGATGACAACTACTATGGCTAACGACTTCAGACTAAGTGCCTTCTACTAAGTCGCCCTGAGAACAAGAACACGTTGCGACAACGAGGTCAACCCACTTCTATAAATCGAAAGGGGACTGCGACCATACCAAAGGCCACAACATCTTGGTCTTCATATCTTCAATAAAAATCACAGTTTGGTTGTCTCAAATATGGCAAAGAATATGATATGGCAAAAGGCCTGGCCCTCCTTGACGTGTCAAGCTCCCATTCTGCACTGTCACGGTTCGACTCCCGCTGAGGGTGTTGAGAAGACCGATGCGAGGTCGAAACTGCAGTCCACCCAGGAAGAGAACAACTTTTGGGAAAGCGAGGCTATGTGAAATTAATGGAAACGTTAGCTCAACTCATATCATTGTGGGAAAATTCTTCTTCTACCAGTCCTTCATTACCTTAAA